TCTTATAGCAAGAGTTAAATTAAAAGGACTCACAGGTATTACTGGTTGCAGTGATGTTTCAGTAACATTTCTGCCACACTACAGCAAACTTTCTCCAAGGAAACATCTCTTCTGCTCATAAATGTCAAGTCATCTCACAAGCTAGAGCCCTCCATTTCCCCAAGTTAAAGAATAATGTCCATTATGCTCAATATCATTCAATGCTCATAAGTTGAAAGCTTTTCCTATAACAGCAGGAACAAGACAAGAATGCCCACTTTTGCCATATTATTCAACACAGTACTGGAAGTCCTAACCAGAGCAGTTAGGCAAGAAAAAGAAATAAAAGGCATCCAAGTCAGAAAGAAAGAAATAACACTGTCTCTACTTGCAGATGACATAATGTTATATATAGAAAATGCCAGACTCCACCAAAAAACTGTTAGAACTAATAAACACATTCAATACAGATTCAGGATACAAAAATCAATCTTATTTTTATACACTAACAATAAACTATCAGGAAGATAAATTTAAAAAGTAATCCCATTTACAATAGCATCAAAAAGAATAAAATACCTAGAAATAAATACATAGGAATCTATTTAACCAAGGAGGTGAAAGATCACTACTCTGAAAACTATAAATCATGGGTAAAAAAAAAAAAAAACAAAAAAACAAGACAAAAATGAATGAATAGATATTCCATGCTGATGAATTAAAATAATTAATGTTGTTAAAAATGTACATACTACCCAAGGCAACCTACAGATTCAATGTACTCTCTATCAAAATTCCAATAGCATTTTGCACAAAAGTAGAAAAAACAATCCTAAAATTTGTATGGAACCACAAAAGACCCCAAATAGCCAAAGCAATCTTGAGAAAGAACCACAAAGCTGGAAGTATCACATTTCCTGATTTCAAAATATATTACAAAGTTATAGCAATCAAAGGAGTATAATACTGACATAAAACCAGACACACTGGTCAAAGGAACAAAACAGAAAATACAGAAATAAACCCACACACATATAATTAATTTATAACAAAGAAGCCACAAATATACACCAGAGAAAGGGTTGCCTCTTCAATAAACGGTGCTGGAAAAAATGAGCAGCCACGTGCACAAGGATGACACTTACACCATACACAAAAATCAGCTCAAAACAGATTTAAGATTTGAACATAAAGCCTGAGACCACAGACACCTGGAAGAAAACATAAGTGGGTAAGCTGCTTGACATCCATCTTGGCAATGATTTTTTAAATTTGATACCAAAAGCAAAAGCAACTAAAGCAAAAAATGAGTGATACTATATCAAACTAAAAAGCTCTACATAGCAAAGGAAACCATCAACAAAATGAAAAGGCAACCTACCAAGTGGGAGAAAACATTTGCAAATCATATATCTGATAAGAGGTATTAATATCTAAAATATACAAAGAACTCACACAACTTTAAAGTATAAAAACAAAAAAATTCAATTAAAAAATGGGCAGAGGAACAGAACAGACATTTTCCCAAAGAAGACATATAAATACCCAACAGGTACATGAAAAGGTACTTAACATCACTAATTATCAGGGAAATCCAAATCAAAACCAAAATGAGATACCGCTTCACACCTGTTAGAATGGCTGTCATCAAAAAGACAATAGGAAGCAAGTATTTGAGAAGATGTGGAAAAAAGGGAACTCTGATACACCATTGGTAGGAATGTAAATTGGTATAGCCACTATAGAAAACAGTATGGCAGTGCCTCAAAAAATTAAAATAGAACTACCATACAGTATGATCCAGCAATTACACTCCTAGGTATATATCCAGAGGAAACAAAAGTACTATCTTGAAGAGTTACATTCCCATGTTCATTACAACATTATTTATAATAGCCAAGGAAACAACCTACATGTCCATCGACAGATAAGATGAATGAATAAAGAAAATGTATGTACACACACACAGGAATATTATTCAACCATGAATATAAAGGAAATTCTGCCATTTGCAACAGTATAGGTAGACCTTGGGGGCATTATGCTAAGTGAAGTAAGTCAGACAAAAAAAGATAAATACTATACAATATCACTTATATGTGGAATCTATAAAGAACTAAACTCATAGAAACATAGAACATAATGGTGGTTGCCAGAGGCAGGGGGTGGAGGTTAGGTGAAATAGATGAAGGTGACCATAATTAAGACTTTGATTTTTAAGATTAATAAGTTCTAGGGATGTAACAGACAACATAGTGACTATAGTTAACAATACTGTATTGTATATTGAAAAGATGTGAAGAAAGTAAATCTTAAAAGTTTTCACCACAAGAAGAAAATTTATAACTATATGAGGTGACGGGTGCTAACTAAACTTATTGTGATAATGATTTCACAATATATACGTATATCATATCATTATGTTGTATATATTTAATTTGATATTATATGTCAATTATGTCATTAAATGGGGGGAAAGTATTTTTAAATAATGTCCATGTGTCTGTTAGAAGGAGACTGGTACTTTTAAATATAATCCGTGAAGCCCTGGCCAGATGGCTCAGTTGGTTGGAGTGTCACCCCGTACACCAAAAGGTTGCTAGTTCGATTCCCTTTCAGGGAACGTATCTAGGTTGCGAGTTGGCATGCGTACAGAAGGCAACTAATAGATGTTTTTCTCTCCAATCCATATTTCTCTCTTTCTCTTTCTCTCTCTCTCTCTCTCTCTCAAATCAATAAAAACATATCTTCAGATAAGAATTAAAAAAATAAATTAAAAAATATATATAATCCATGAACCAGAAGCTCTGCCCTGACATTACATTTGACACATAGTTAAATGTATAATTATGAGAACTGAAACAGAGATTGTTTTACATATTGGTTAAAAATTAGATTTCTGGCCCTGGCCGGTTTGGCTCAGCGGTTAGAGCGTCAGCCTGCGGTCCTGAGAGACCCGGGTTTGGTTCCCGCTAGGGGCGCGTACCTTGGTTGCAGTTTGTCCCCAGCCCTGGTCGGTTGTGCGGGTGGCAGCCACTCGATGTGTTCCTTTCACATCGGTGTTTCTTTCTCTCTCTCTGTTCCTCTCCCTCCCTCCCACTCTACCTGAACAAAAAATGGAAAAATGTCCTCGGGGGAGGATAAAAAAAAAAAAATAGATTTCTGTGATTATGGTTCCACAGTCTCTATGAACAAAAAGTGATCACATTACAAACAAACAAAAGGCTACAAGCAATTAGTTTATTACAACTTTCTGGATTTGATGGCACATTAACTACAATAAACAGTCCAGGACAATAATGAATATGTGGTTTCAGAAAGACAGGCATTTGTTAAATAGAAAAAATATGTTTAAATAAAGGCATTCCTTAAGACAGAGGTCTAGTAGGTTTGGTATCAAATTCTAGTAGAAAAACAATTCACCACCATAATCACAAAGTAACTCACTAAATGATATATTTTTTATTTGCTGATATGCATTCATAATTCTCATTTTGAAGGAAAGATTTTTATTTTTCTGGCGCCACCAAGTGGTAACATTATGAAGTGTTCCAGGGCAAATAACTTAGACAAAAGAATCACTTTGCTATGTTTTATCTATGTCAATTAAACACTTGTGATGTTTTAGCACAAAAATTATCTGAAAAGAAAAGGGAAAAGTATCAGAACTGATTGTTTGCAACTCATCCCTATTTTAAACCCCCAACCAAAAATAAAGAGTTAAGACAAGAAGAAAAATGGTAGGCCACCATGCTCCATAAGCAAACAAAAAAACACCAATAGATTATGAAACTATCTGAAAAACAAGTTTGTATCAAAATGATATACATTGTCAGTCAGCCCAAGAGAAATGCTTCCTCCTGAAACTCCATTACCACGGCTGTAAGATAATAAGGCAAAATCCCACAAGGCCAAGGAGACTGAGAGAAAAGATAGCAGCAACAAAATTTCGGAAGCCAGAAAGTCGATGGATGAGCTTTCGAGACTTGGGGAAACTCCAGAAAGCTACCTGACTACATGGTACTAAATCTCTCCCAAAGTTCAGGAACTGGTGGCACTAGGTAGCTGTGGACATGAGAGCAAAGGATTCAAAACAAGCAACTTGGTCAAAATTAGTTAAAAAGCAGTTAGGATGCCCCTCCATACATTTCCCTTCCACTCCATACCGCCAAGTGTTTGCCTTCACCCCACGTCAGAAGGATGAAAGTTGACAGTCTAGGAACAGAACCACAGAATGCTTTTGGACTACCGGACACCAGGCACAGTGAGGGCAGGAATAAAAAATGTTAGTAATACAGGAGACTGTGGTCATCTGAATGGTACTAACAAATCAAAGACCTCAAGAAAAATCAATGAAAATGGTAATTTCTTGGAAAGAAAATCATTGGATGAAGGTCCCATCAACCTTTGATTATTGTGTCCAGGAAGTCATGTAACTAACTGCAGCATGCTTCACTCTGCTTCTATAAGGAAAAAGTAAATAATTAAACAAAAACTGATACTTTAAAAAAAGGTAGGTTCTACTTATAGACATTCAGCAGCCTTCAACTCTACATGCCCCATTTCACCCTCATTCATTAGCTGAGAATTTACTGCAACTAACAAAGAAAATAGTAGGCAAATCCGAGAACCTTTTAGACTCTTGGTTTAAAAGCCCATTTCTCACCAGGCCATTCATAGTTAATGTACTAAAGAATCTCTGTGAACACTCCTGAGAGAGGTGAAGGCTGGTGGATAATAGCCATGTCAGAAAAAAGAGAACACTTTGTTATTCATAATAAAGACTTAGAGAGTTGATTTTTTTATCCCATTTTGTTGCTTATTTGATCAAATTAGAGAGTTAAGTATATCTGATACTGTTGTGTAACCAGAAGCCTATATCCATATTTATGTCATTTAATCTTCAGTAATTTCTCATTTTCAGTATTGTTTTTACAGATTATACATAAGATATAGTTATATGTACATACTTTTTTCCCCAGATACCAACATAAGAAACATTAATACAGATAAAACTGTACCTTGAACACCTTCTAGGAGTAAATCAACTCCCTTCCTATAAAAATCGGAAGCAGCTTCATAGTCGTCGTCTTCTTCCTTTTTTAAAGCCAGCTTTATTAATTCTCCCGCTTTCTCCAAATAATTTCTCTTGCCAAGCTTAGATTTTAAACTGCCAGGAAAGAGGCTACGATTTTCCCTTTCTTCTTCTGTTTTGTTCTGTTCACTGTCAAAAGCAGCAGCCCCTAGTGCTGAAGGATCCGAAGAAAGATTGAGACCAAAAGTTCTAATGGGAGAATTTTGATTGGAAGCCATTCCATCATCCAACTCAGCAAGAGAATCCACATCAACAGTAAGAGATATCAGGTCACTGTCACTGGAGAAGCCTGAAAATATGATCACAATAGTAAACATATTAAATTGAGAATCAGCCAAAAGAATGCAAATCATGCTGACTATTCATTTCTTCACACTACCCAAGTCAATTAGGAAGGCTGTAATTTACTGATGAAGTCAGTGCCTAGCAATTTGTTTCAGCTTAGTTCATTCATTTTTGCACTGTCTCTCAATGGCTCTGGAACACCATCTCTTTGCCTTAATTATCAAACTAAAATGAAGACAAGCCCTGGCTGGTTTGGCTCGGCGGTAAGAGCATCGGCCTGCGGTCCAGAGAGACCCGGGTTCAGTTCCTGCTAAGGGCACGTACCTCGGTTGCAGTTTGTCCCCGGCCCTGGTTGTTCGTGCAGGTGGCAGCCACTCCATGTGTCCCTTTCACGTCGATGTTTCTCTCTCTCTCTCTCTTCCTCTCTCTCCCTCCTACTCTATCTGAACAAAAAAATGGAAAAATGTCCTCGGGTGAGGATAAAAAATAAAAAAATAATAAAACAAAGACAAGTCTTTATCTAGCCTTTACCACAAGATCTTGTAAACCACTTTTAGAAAGCAGATGCTTGCACACACAACTGCTATGAGCAATAATGTTATGATGGAGAGTAAAGAGTTAAGAGCTTTAGAGTAACTATAAAAGAAACCCAGATCTTAAAACTTACTGTGTGATTAACAGCAAGTTACTTAATAGTATTACTTATTAAGCAGGGCATTAAATGAGAACAGAGTTAATGCATATGAAGCATAACAGACTACCATTAAATTATAACTATTATAGCAATTATATAATAATTATTTAACTACTAGACAATATATATTCAGAGGTGTGCTTTCAGGTCACCATCCATATCTGGAAAATGTATGTCATTTAGTTTTGTTTTTTTTAAAAAAACTGAATTTTTAGAAATTTTTGTTTCAGCCTCTTCCACAGCTTTGGAGAGAATTGGTCTATATTCATAACTTAGTTTTCTGACAGAATATAAAAAATAAGTGCTGTTAACATTTTTAGCAATGAAAATTACTTCTCTCATTCTTATAAATGACTTCATGGCAAATGAGCATGAATCATAATAATAGTTATCAAACTTTTTGGTCTTGAAACCTCTCTTTACATTCTTAAAAATGATTGTTACCCTCGACGAGATTCTGTTTATGTGGATTATATCTGTAAATATTTACCAATCTTGATATTTAAAAAGCAGATGGAAAAAAATTTAATTAAACATTAAAGCCCATTACATGTTAACAAAATTTTTATTTTAAAAAACTCTATTTTCCAAAACAAAAAATATTTAGTCAGAGAAGTGGCACTGTTCTACATTTGTGCAAATCTTGTTAACAAAAGATGGCTACAGTCTCATATCTGTTCTGTACTCAATCTGTTGTCAGACGTTGTTCTGGTTGAAAGATTTGAATAAGATGTCACAGAGATATGTAATTGAAAGTGGGGTAAATATTTTAGTAGCCTTTTAAAATAATTGTGGACATTGTCTTTTAATAGTACACCAAAATTGACAGTGGTTGTTTCTTAGAGCTTAGTTGCCATGTAAATTCCTATCAATGAAATTTCTGTTTTGATTACACTCAAATCCATTGGTCTGTCTTACACGCTGAATGGATCTTTTTATCCATCACGAGTTTATAACATCACACCCTGGCCATTTTGAAAAGACTGGTTTCCAGTTACACAGATTTTCCAAATGGTGACAAATTTTATATTACAATATCACCCCCCAAACCACATTTGTTACTATCACCATCAATTTTATCAGAAAAATATTTAAGTATTGGGAAACTGTCAAGCTCAAAGTGGAAGATAAAAGTTCTCCAAAATTCTAATTCTGGGTCGCAAACTTGAATGTTATCAGTGGCAACATATACCATCAGTTGTTTTCCTTCAAGTGTCAGCTCCCTTCGTTTACTTTCAAAAAACATGTGCCAAATTCCCAAGTCTGAATAATGATAGTTTATCTGTCAATCATCCTTTCAAGCAGATACGGTATTCCAGGAAAAAAACAGCTAGTTTCTGACTCAAACAACTTCTCCTCAAGACAACCATGGTAGCTCAGTATGCAGAAATACTTTATGTATACTTCCACTTTGTCACAAAGAATATCAAAAGAATATCCCCAAAGATGAGGCCAGTAAAACTGAGTGCTCACTGCTTCCTCAAGGACACACCCAGCGCCGGCACTGCCCCAGCGCGATGCCTGCTGTCACGGGCTGGTGCCGCGCGCTCGACGCGTGCTCTGGCACCTTAGCTTCACCCACCGCTGCTTTTGTGTCATCAGTGCAAATATCAACACAGCGAAAAAGGCAAATGATTTCCTAGATTATTAACAAAACATTTCTGCCTTGGGTGCCCCCTAAAGAGATCTCAGGAATATCCAGGGGTCTAAAGACCATACTTTGAGCCGCTGATCTATACTTAAAAGACTGGCAGTATGCTTATATAAAAATTAGGTTTGAAAACAGCTATGAGATCTGCATCACTACTGACTATTAATTGCCAAGTTTCTCAGAAAACTAAGTATATAAAGAAGAAAATTATTTCCTCAATGAGTCAAAATTAGAGGTGAATTAGACTATATAATTCTAGGTGATCAGAGATCAGCTAATTTTTTTGAGGGTCAAGAATGAGTACTTTAGGCTTTGTGGGCCACCTTTCACAATGAATCAATACTACTGCTATAGCACAAGCACAGCCAAGACAACACGTGACTGTAAGCACGGTTGTGTTCCAATAAAACTTTATTTATGGACGTTGAAGTTTGAATTCCATATAATTCTCCCATGCCATAAAATAATATTATTTTAAATTTTGTCGATCATTTAAAATATAGAAACCATCCAGCTCACTGACTGAGTGTCGACCCATGCACCAAGAGGTCACTGGTTCAATTCCCGGTCAGGGCACATGCCCAGGTTGTGGGCCAAATCCCCAGTGGGGGGCATGCAGGAGGCGGCCAATTGATATTCTCTCTCATCGATGTTTCTATCTCTCTCTCCCTTTCCCTTCCTCTCTCTCTAAAATCAATAAAGAAAAAATATTTAAAATAAATAAAATATAAAAACCATTCTTAGCTTTCAGGTGGAAGGCCAGATTTGGCCCACAGGCTATACTTTATCAATCCCTGTTATAGACTCAAATTGCTTATTTCATATCAAATAAAGTAAGTTAGGGTAAAACCATGTTACTGGCAGCTAAACCCAAATTTCAAATCAGCTTTAGTCATGACTGTGGCACCCTGTCAATATATTCTGTTTTAAGGGTTTTTCTTTCAAATTCCCAGAATGTCCATAAAAAACTATTTTTGAGGCACAAACTTCTGGTTATAAAATAAATAGTCATGGGGATGTAATGCACAGCAAAGAGAGACTATATTTAATAATACCGTACTGCACATTTAAAAGGTGTTAAAAGTAGATTTTAAAAGTTCTCATCACAAAAAAAAACAAACAAACCTATAACTATGTATGTGACATAGTTACATACATAGAACTAGTGGAAATCTCTTCAATTCTCTGACATTTCAACTGTACGGACAATACTTCCAAAATCTTTTCCTGCAATCTACAAAAGTATCTACTGTTCTGAGAAATATAAATTTTGAGTTTTTTTAAATACTTTTTAAATATTGTGTGTATTTCAATGAAAATGTATTTCCTGAACTGGTGTCATTATTTAACGTAGTCCATTGAAATTAATAAACAAACAGACAATTCTTTCTGGTTTATACAGCTAATCACAAAGGAAAGGAAATGCTGTCAGCGATCTTTGTCAGCTCTCCCGTGTCTTGTCACTGTGACCTTCACATCATCTGTCACATTGTACCATTTCATGCTTTGCCTGATTTTCCTCTCTAACAAGAACAATAACACCAAAGGGCAAGAGGGTAAAGTTATGTATACTCAGTTTCTTGGCTTCTGACCACAAAAATCTAGTGTCATAGTCATATTTCCTCTTACCTTTCCAACCTTATTTTATTAGCAAAGGAAACCATGGTTAAATGAAATTAGATCAGAAAAATAAGACCATCAAAATACCTAGGGAGAAAGTCAGATAGCAAAATAAAGTAAGAAATAAATATTCTACACAAATTGTTTCAATTTCTACCTAATTCTAAATAAAGAAACTTTCAAAGTAAGCAAGTAAGTAAAAACTAGCAGGTTAGGAAAAGGAAATTTTTAGCCTAACTGGGAAAAGCAACTTGTGGTTTAACCTTTTGGGAGGACAGTTTGGCAATGTACATCAGGTGCAAAAAAATGCTTATATCTTTGACCAAGAAATTCAGCAATTTATACCAAAACAATCAGAGATATGAAAAAAAGGTCTTTATATAAGACTATCCAGCACAAAAATTAGTGAAAATTTTGCAAGAAAAAATTTCTAAAAATAGGAGATTATGGTTCATTCCTATAATAAAATATTATACAGTTATTTAAAAGTATGTTATAGCCCTGGCCAGTTTGGCTCAGCAGTTAGAGTGTCAGCCCAAGGGCCAAAGGGTCGTGGTTTCAATTCAGGTCAAGGGCAGGTACCTCGATTGCATTTCGATCCCCGGCCCTGGCTGGGTTGTGTAGGAGGCAACCAATTGGTGTGTCTCTCTCACACTGATGTTTCTCTCCCTCCCTCCCACTCTATCTGAAAATTAAGTGGAAAAGTGTCCTCAGGTGAGGATTAAAAAAAAAGTATGTTACAGAAGAATGTTTTATGCTAAAATATTCATACTCTGTTATGCAAAAATGATGAACTGCAAAGCAATATTATTTATAAATCCTATAATTCTAATTTAAAAACACAAACACAGAAAGGTACAGTAAACACTAAAAGGAATTTTCTCTGCATGGCGGGATTACAGGTGGTCTACCCCCATTCCTGCGTGTGCATGGCAAGCCCTTCAGGCTCTGCACATGAACGATATCAAAGAAGATGCAGCAAGGACTGAAACTGGGAATATGGGAATAAAGATGTTACACAGCCATTATTCATGCAATA